CTCTCTGCAATGGCCTTCTCCCCATAGCTCCTTGCACAGCCCATCCTCTAGAAGGGCTCTGCATGGCCTGCCCTTTGAATGTTGCAACAGCAGAAGAAACTCTTGAGGTTTATCTCTGGGTTTAACAACCCTACATCTACTGAACAGGGCGGCCATAGCTCTCTCAACACTTAGTTCCTATCCTTGAAATGGGAGTCACGGGAGATTTTAAATGACAATGCAGAACTGAAGAAGCTTCTTGGATGAGAAGCGAAATGTCTTCAAGCAAAACAAAGAAAATCCAGTTGCCTTTTGGAAAAAAACAAAAACAAAACACCTTTGGGATAGCCATGATCTATATAACTGAGAATCTCCACAGACAAATGTTGAAGGGGACATCCCAATTGGCTTCGCACGTTGCAATCAAGCCTGGTTTATTTCATCAGGTAGAACTTGGGTTTAATAAACCACCAATGATTCCATTTCCAATGAAGGAGAGTGTTTGTAGCTCAGGCTTGAAATGAAGAGTCCTTGCTGGTCTCAAGAGTTTGGTTGTTTTCTTGCAGGCATTTCATTACCCAACTAGGTAACATCATCAGTGCTAGTCTGATGATGTTACCTATTCCGGGTATTGAAACATCTGCAAGAAAAACAACCAAACTCAGAGAGCACCAAGGACCCTTCACGATTCAGTCTGCACCAGCTAAGCAATAATCCATGGTTTCCAGCTTGCAATGATTAGATTCACACAACACACTAAGCTTAAAAACAACCAGTCATATGGACCGTAATGAAATGTGAACCCAATGAAAACAAGGCCATAATAAAGCTTGTCAGCTTTGTCAGAGTATATTCATGAACTGGAATAGAGCATGGTAACAAGGTCAGCCAATGAATAGGCATAGCAACTAAGTCAGCCAATGAGGACTGTTTGGGAACTGAAACTAGAAGTAGCCTAGGCGTGGCTCTCTATTAAGCTCTGCAGCTATGTTAAGATCTGTCTATTGAAGATGAAACTGCTTCTCTCCTCTGCTGTGTGTCTTGCTTGCCTGCTGGACTAAAATGAAACTGATGTCTGTTTCTGAGCTGAAGTTGAGTTGCTGTTCTGTTCCGAACCTGTAACATGTCTGCTTCTATTTCAGTTTGCTCCATGTTGGAGAAATCTACAACTGGTATTGTAAAATTTACTTTATATGTTTATAAAGAAGTTAAATGAAACCTCAGCCGTCTGTGTTTATTTTTCTGGTGCTGAATTTACACTGCAATACTCCGAACAAGCTTTCCAAGGGATTTGCTCTCTGCCAGTTTCATCCACCTCAGAATTGTGGTAGTGATAAAAGACCACACCAGAGTGCTTTGGACATGCATCAGATACCGACACAACAATTTGTAGCTTGAGTGCTGTGTCATTAGTAAATGAGCAACAAGGATGCAAAATGGCCACAACTGATACAATCCAGAAGACCGAGCACTCTCGGAATTGTCCTTCCTTTCTTCAGGATTAGAATCCAAACCATTAGATGAAAGCAAATTGGGAAAGAGTACATATAGTAGATTTGAAATATATATGCAGGAAGTCCTCGACTTACGACCACAAGTGAGCCCAACATTTCTGTTGCTAAGTGAGACAGTTCTGTGAATTAGGTGGCTGGAAATATCCAGAATGAACTATCACTCTAATCTTCTTTGGTCCCAGGACAGAAAAAGAATTTTTAAATTTCGCATTGTTTGCTAAGGCAAAAATAAATAAATAAAAGTGTTTTGAAATACAACCCACTCAAACCGGTCAATTGGCAACTATCTCCATGTCTGATGACAATGACTTTTACAATTTAACTCTTGTGTGGTGACATGCTACTGAATCTCTCTGCAATTCCTTTCTAAAGGATGATCCTGACCCTTTCCTAACAAAGGAATATCTTGTGTTATGTTCACACTTTTTTCCAGCTCTACAATACACTTTTGGGAGTACCCAGAATGGAGTTGATCACTCTTATCTTCTTTTTTGGCCTCAGGACAGAAAAAGAATTTTAGTTTCCCATTTTTGCTAAGGCAAAAATAAATAAAAGTGTTTTGTCCTTTTGGAATGCAACCCACTCAAAACTGGCAACTGGCAACTATCACCATGTCTGATGGCAATGACTTTCACAATTTAACTCTGGGTGGTGACATGCTACTGAAGAATTCCTTTCTGGCCCTTTCGGAGTATGGGTACATTTGGAATACCCAGAATGGACTATCACTTCTTCTTTGGCCCCAGGGCATAAAAAGAAGTTTAATTTTCCATTGTTTGCTAAGGCAAAAATAAATAAACATATAAAAGTGTTTTGTTCTTATGGAATTCAATTCATTCAAAAATGTCAGTCTGATTTCTTCCAAGCTCTGAATCAAAGTGTGCCCACTTTTGAATCAGACATCAAAATCTGACCCTGGAGAGCTAGGATTTCGTGCACCGAGATGGTGGCTGCTTTGGGGGAAATGCAGTAAGACGGGAGGAAGGGGTCACTCACATCCTTCTCCAGGCAGAGGTCGTCAGCAATCTGTGAAATCTCCTGCAGGTTAGGCTTGGGGCAGCGCAGAAAGTACGACTCGAGTGAACCCCGCACGTTGTTCTCAATGCTGGTGCGCTTGCGTTTCCGAGCCTGGATCATGGCCGACTCCATGGAGCACAGTTGCTGCACAGAGGACGAGAGCTATGTTTGGGATCACCGCTTGGAGCGCACAACAACCCCTTCTGACCCACCCAATTAAGACAGCGCCTTCTCCACTTCCGCTTAAACTTATCACAGCCACGGAGGGAGCAAAAAATAATGGCTTCGGATGTCACAGAACGAAGGCAAATATACGTGTCCCAGGATAACGTTGCAGGATCCAATCTGGGTCGGTCACCGGAACCAGCGGTTTTGTCTTCCGAGTGTTCGGACTCATGCTGGAGACCCTCTGCTGGTTCCGGTGACCGACCCAGATTGGGTCCCGCTTCAGATTATCTCCAGCATCTGCTACTTACAAGATTAAGCAATTCTATGCTGTGATAAGTCCCATTGCAACAATCTAAACGTCTCCCTTGGCTACCTTTTGGTTTTTTTAACCCCCTATCTTTGTCATTTAGGAATAGAGGTAATGTTCGACTTATGATCACAGTCAAAATTTCAGCATTTCTGTCACTAAGCAGCACAGTTGTTCTGTGCATCACACTGGAATTTACATTCCTTTTTTTCGCCATGGTTATTAAGCGTAGGGCTGCAGGTTCACTGTTAAGTGTGAGCCACGTGGCCATTAAGTGAATCTGGTTTCGTTAACTTTGCTTTCAGAAGTCAGTCGGGAAGGTCGCAAAAGGCGATCACATGACCAAAGGATGTTGCCACCATTGTAAACGCATGATGATTGCTGATGCCTGAAATTTGACCATGTGACCATGGAGGTTGCCGAGGCGGTTTTTAAATCACTTTTTTCAATGCTGTTGTAACTCTGATCACTAAATGAACGGTTGTAAGTCGAGGCCTACCTGTCCTAGCACCCTAACATTATCTCATTACCCCATTCAAACCTGCTGCCCTCTCTCCTCCATTTTGTAAAGCTCTCCCTTTGACCCATGTTTCAATGAGCGACATATCCAAACTGGATATTCCTTTCACCTTCAAACCTACGAATCTTTCTAGTCGCCAATTTCCTCCACTCTCTCCAATTTTGCAACCTCCTCCTTCCAAAATTTCTTTCACACGTCAAGTTAAATGAGCAACTCTGCTAAATTAAGTCCACCAGATACTTTTAGAAAGCTCACAAGCTCACATAGGTGGTTTATTGCCCTGTTCTACTGTTAATCAACCAGCTGTTATTTAAAATCTGCTACCCATGATTCAGGAAAGAGTAAAGGTAAAGGTTCCCCTTGCACATAAGTGCTAGTCGTTTCCGGCTCTAGGGGGTGGTGCTCATCTCCATTAACAAAGCCAAAGACGCTGTCTGAAGACGTCTCCATGGTCATGTGGCCGCCATGACTAAACAACGAAAGCACATGGAATGCTGTTCCCTTCCCACCGAAGGTGGTCCCTATTTCTCTACTTGCATTTTTACATGCTTTTGAACTGCTAGGTTGGCAGAAGCTGGGACCAGTCATGGGAGCTCACTCAGTTACGCGACGCTGGGGATTCGAACCGCTGACCTTTCTGATCAACAAGCTCAAGCGTCTTAGCCGCGACCACAAAGTAGTAACCATGGATAACTTGGGGTCTACTTGAAATTGTCTAGTCCCCTTTCAAAATTATCTAAATTGGCAACTATCACCATGTCTGATGGCAGTGACTTTCACAGTTTAACCCTGGGTGGTGACATATGCTTCTGAATCTCTCTGGAACTCCTTTCTAAAGGATTGTCCTGACCCTTTCCTAGCAAAGGAATATCCGTGTCATGTTCATACCTTTGTCCAGCTCTACAACATACTTTTGGAGATTTCAAAGTCGATGCAATATTCCAAGAGTGATCTTTCCATTCGTTGTTACATTTAATTCTAAATTCCATTCTCAGTGATTCCAAGCATAGAATGTCCCCTTTTAAAGCAGCAAACTGTGAGTTAACATGTCATCCACCATGATCCCCAAATCAGGGCCCTCTCAAGTCCCAACATTGGGTGTGCAAGCTGGATTTTTCGTGCCAGTGTGCGTCAATTTTCATTTACATGTATTGAACTGCATTTGCTTCTCTGAAGTCCATTCACCAGCCTGGAAAAATCCTTATGGGATTTTCTGTACTCTCATTTATATTTTTACTATCCTGGATAGTGTCTCATACCGTCAACAAATGTGGTCTCCTTATCTTACTGTTCACCTGAACATATAGAAACTATTTAAAAAGCAATTGAACCATGAAGGACTCTTTTCGAATCTCTAATTTGAAAAAGGTTCATTTTTATTTTTCTGTTTTTCTAGGCAGCATCTCTCTTTTATCTAATGACTGTTGAATTTTGATTATAAACTTTATACAAGAGAAACTCAAAAGCTTTTTGAACACCCAGGTATGCTGTCTATTAAATTACCCCTATCTATATTTTTGCTGACATCTTAAAAAGAAAGTGAATGAGACAAGACTTTGAGGGGGGCATGTTAGTTATTTTTCAGCAAGATTTGTTCGGAAAGTTAAAACTTCCTCTGTCAACTTTTTACCCAGAATGGACATAAAGCTGATTTTTAATTAATCCATTAGGCTTCTCGCTTCATTTTTATTTCAGTTCATCAGATTTCCTTCTTGTTCTACATCAGGGGTGTCAAACTCGCGGGCTGCGGGTTGGATGCATCGTGCACTGGCCACACCCACACCCAGTTTAGCGAAGGGGAAAAATCACGATAAATCATGTGACAATAATGGGATGGTGCGAGTTTCACACCCCTATTCTACATCTTCAAAAATGAAGGCAAGAATAAATACCTTTATTTGGTTTCTCTGTAATTTCTTCTCTCCTCTTTTAGTGCACCTTCAAATTCTGTCTTGACTTCCTGTTCACTTCCCTTTCCACAATATGCATAGCATTTTATTGGTCACTGTGTCTTTTTTGAGTTGAATTGTTTTGTAATTTTTATAAAATGCGTATTTTTGGCTATTTCAGTTTGCGTAATTAAAAAGTGTGGATTTTAATGCTGTGGTGGCATATTTACAGAACATTCGATTGATTACTAAGGAATTAAGGAACACAATTAGAGAGCTTCAAATATTGACATGATCGAGATTCCTCTAGACTGATCATACCCTCCTATAGAACCATTCAGGTCTCAGTGAATGAATGAATGAATGAATGAATGAATGAATCTGCAGAAATACTGAATGGAGGACGCTGATTCGTATAACCAAACTGCATCTTTGCTGAGGAATATAGCAAAAATTCATCCAATTTCCTTTGCCACCGCAACTAAAATCTAGGCACTGCAATTTTTTCACCAGCCTGCTCTTCCCATGCTTAGAACGTAGAATCACAGGACTGGAAGGGACCTGGGAGGTCTTCTAGTCTAACCCCCTGCTTGAGCAAGGGACCCTATATCTTTCCAGACAAGTGGCTGTCCAGTCTCTTCTTAAAAAGCCTCCAGTGATGGAGCAACCACAACTTCTGAAGGCAATCTATTCCATTGGTTGATTGCTCTCACTTGTTAGGTGTAGGATGAGGGTGGTTCATTCTCTGAGATTGTGGGTTGGTTTCCGAACATTTCATTACCAGGCTAGGTTAACTGTCATGCCCCTGTCGGAGTCTGACTCAGAGGAGGAAGCCGAACAGGTGACAGGGAGTGAGAGTGTGGCTCCTTTGGCTGTGGAAGAAACTGGGGACGGGCAAAGTCCAGCTGGGCAGAGCAGGGGAGAGGTAGAGCAAGGAGAGGGAATTCAGAGGAAGACCCCGGCCTACCCCCCTCTTCATCCTAGGACATGCAGGGAGGAACAGAGAAGGGAGCAATGTGAGTGGCATGGCTTACGGGGGAGGAAAGGCTCCTGATTCCCTTCATTAGCTGCAGCTGGGAACACAGTATTTAAAAGAGGAAGCTGCACACAGCAAGCTGTTGGGAGCAAACATGACTTTATCTTGCATCGTTATGGCTTATCTGTGTTCCTGTCTTCCCAACTGTGTGAGTTTTGCTGTGCTTTCAAGTCTGAAATTCCTTCTCCTGCCCTGTCAAGCTAATTACTTCAGCTTGGTTTGTTTGGATTTTTAGTTACAGTTTGTATGTGCCTTGTTTTGGACTGAATTTTCTACAGTGAAAGGCTGTTCCTGGGAGAGTTTTTCTCCAGCCGAAGGTAACCTGGACATTGGGGGCAAAATTGGAGATAATAAAGGGACTCTTATTGTTTATATGACTGTGTTGCCTTTGTGCTATGCCCGGGTCTTCACAGTAACATCTTCAATGGACACTCCTATTCCTGAAGCCTTTATAAGTAGAGGAATACTGACACTGACATCCTACAAACTGAAGATGTTGCCTAGCCTGGTAATAAAACATTCTGAAGCCAACCCACAAGCTCGCAGAATGAACTTTCACCCTCAAAATAATATGTATTCCTGCTTTTATTTGGCGTCAATCTCATCATTTAGGAGATGTACTGAAAAACATTCCAATGAGCAGATCCTTTGAAATAGCAATTTTTGTGTGTGATGTTCTGGATCACCCCAATTCTGAATGGTGCTCTTTTCATTTCAAATGTTAAAACAAAACCCTTTAAATTTTATACTCCTTGGGAAAGAGGGAAGTTCACATTTGCCTAGAACTCTCAACAAAATGCCATTATTAATAATTATTGGAACCAATGAATAAAACTTAGTCTCCCAAATGAAGAATTCGTTCAGGTCCTGGAGACAGGATAGCCATCCATCCATCCTAGGAACTCACCTCCTGCAAATTCTCGTTACTGTCAGCCTCTTGAAGCCAACGCTGAAGGAGGGGCTTCAGTTTACACATGTTCTTGAAGCTGAGTTGCAAAGCTTCGAAGCGGCAGATGGTGGTTTGACTAAACATCTTCCCTGCATGAGTTAAGTGGAAAAACAAGAACAACCAGATCGATATTTAGAACAGGAATCTAGTACAGGGGTCTCCAACCTCGGCAACTTTAAGACTTGTGGACTTCAACTCCCAGAATTCCTCAGCCAGCTGGCTGAAAAATTCTGGGAGTTGAAGTCCACAAGTCTTAAAGTTGCCAAGGTTGGAGATCCCTGATCTAGTAGGTCAGATGTTGACTCTATGGGTCTCGATCTCTCAGTCTCATTGACTTCAAGGGGCTTTTTGTAAAGCGTTCATGCTTTGTAGCAACTAAAGAAAAATAGGGAATATTCAATATTGTTGGCAACTACTTTGCTAATAATTCAAGTGTTGGAAGAATCTTTGAAAGCCATCTAAGCCAACTTCTGGCCCAGTGTGTTTTCCATACATTTTAGATTCAAATGCACCAATTATTTCCAGTAGAAATCAAAATAAAATTAGACTGTCTGCTTCAAAGAAAGGAAGGAAGGAAGCAAAGAAAGAAAGAAAAGAAAGAGGGAGGGAGAGAGAGAAAGGAAGGGAGGGAGAGAGTGAGAGATAGAAAAAGGAAGGAAGGAAAAGAGAGAGAAAGAAAAGAAGAAAGGAAGGGAAAGAAAAGAAGAAAGGAAGGGAAAGAAAGAAAGAAAGAAAGAAAGAAAGAAAGAAAGAAAGAAAGAAAGAAAGAAAGAAAGAAAGAAAGAAAAGAAAGAAAGAAAGAAAAAAAGAAAAAGAAAATAGATAAGATTCCAGGTCACAGAAAAATTCCTAAAACAAGAGTAGACAGTGAGAAATGCCTCTGAAAGTGCTATAACAAGAGATTTAATTGATTGGATTAACCAGCACACTTAAAAAAAATATTTCCCTGGAAATTAGGTGCCAGTTACAACTGTTAATATAAAAGCTATAAAAGGAGCATACTTTGTTAGATAACAATGCCTTTAAAGAAGAGATGTTTCTCACTATGGAACTATTGTTTGGACTAATGGGTCAACCTTATCAGCAGATCAAGATTAATTCCAATTCAATGCAACACATCTCTTTAGGTCAGAGAAACAAAAAAGGCTTCTCTCCAACTCTTTTGTTTCACAAGTTCTATCATTCTGAGCCAGGGCTCTTCAAGTGCCACAGAAAGACTCTTAATCTTAGTTGAGACAAAAAGTTGAGTTTCTTCTCATCCTAGTAAAAAAAAAACCACACACACACACACACACCCAAAAAATGTTCATTTATTTGATAGTTTACAACCCTAAAAACTCAAGAGCTTGTACCTACCATACAGTAAACCCAGAGCCAGTCCTACGTCTGCCTGAGTGAAGCCCAGGGTAATTCTTTTGTGCTTCAGTTCCTTAGCAAATTGTTCCAGCTCTTCTGTAGTAGTTGTTTCCTAAAAGGGAAAAAAAAAGCAAAGAAAAAGAAGCACTTTGATTGATAGCTGTCCATTTCAAGAGAGCAATAAGGCCTTTTTGATGCACACTCATTTTTCAGAAAAGTTAAAACTTTTGGCTAAATGTCTATGGAGTTTCTCAATCATCCAGGTCATGGTTGCCCCAAAGGTGGGTTTTTTGTTTTGTTGGGTTTTTTTTTGCAAAGGGCAACTGGACTTCCTTGGTTTTTCCTTTGAAAATACTTCGCTTCTCATCCAAGAAGCTTCTTTTATTCAGTTCAGAACTGAATAAGCTTCTTGGATGAGAAGCAAAACCTTTTCAAAGAAAAAAAAATAACCTCCAAGAGAAATCCAGTTGCTTTTTGGAAAAGGAATACCTTTGGGACAACTGCTCTCCCTCATCTGGAATTCGTTTGGGCGATTTTTAAATTTTTTGCTCCTACTAGCTCATATACTGTATATTTACTTATTTTTTTAAATTGTAAAAAAATAAAGGGGGGGGCAGGTTCAATACCACCTTCCTATATAGAAGCTCCCTGAGTGATTTTGAACCAGTCACTATTTCTGGTTTGGTTCTGCAACCCAACAAGACAGACACAAACTTCAGAGGATAATTAGGACTGTAGAAAAAACAATGGCTACCTTCAATCGGGACCTGTATACTGCACGAGTCAAAAAGAGGGCTGTGAAAATATTTACAGACCTCTCACATTCCGGACAAAAACTGTTTCAGCTCCTTCCCTCAAAACGAACTGCCCACCAGAACAGCTGGACACAAGAACAGTTTTTTCCCGAAAGCCATCACTCTGCTAAGCAAATAATTCCCTCAACACTGTCCAATTACTTACAAAGTCTGTGCTACTATTACTATTCATCTTCTCATCACTCCTTATCACCCATCCCCTCACATAGGACTATCATTAAGTGTTGTACCTTATGATTCTTGACGAATGTATCTTTTCTTTTTATGTACAGTGAGAGCATTTGCACCAAGACAAATTCTTTGTGTGTCTAATCACACTTGGCCAATAAAGCATTCATTCATTCGTTCATTTCTTACCTACAACCATCAGGGGGAAACCTGATGAAGAAGGGATTGACATCTAACCATTAAACAAATGTTAATATATATTATATTATATAAATATATATAAATGTACTTTTATCCTGATTAGTATAAGAGTGAGATTGTATATGTACCTACATGATGCAGTGTGTGTGTGTGTGTGTGTGTGTGTGTACACATTACATCATATAGGTACATATACAATCTCACTCTTATACTAATCAGGATAACACCACCAAACTGGTTTTAATTCTCATAATCTGTTGTAAGAGTCTTGAATGAAAAGATTCCGTGCCAGACAATGGGTAGTTTGTAAATCAGAAGAATCCAATGGATTCCTTTCAAATCACTAGAAATCAATCACATCAACAGATCTTCAATGCTTCTTCATACCTGAACCTCTCCCTGCTGGAGTGATTTATTAAATTTCTTGCTACAAGGCAGAGTTCAAGCTCAGGTATCACTTTCATTGTTTCTAATCTATTTCTTTCTCACTCTTTGGAGCAGTCACAGTAGATAAATCTCCAGCAGACAATTCCAATCTCCAGCAGACAATCCCGGGGACAATCACACATTTATGATAAGAAAAGGAATCCAAACCAACAGGCTTGGCTTTTTTGTGTGTGTTGCTTCCAAAAATAGTAACCACCCAATCTTTCTAGCCCGGAGCTTACTTAATTGCCCATCAGAGTTAATCATATCTACTCCAGAAGAAATCTGCCAGGTTTTTTCCCCCGTCCCCTCAAGCTCACATTCTCCTTAACTATCAAGTACAGACTCCAAGGGATAGTTAAAATAAGACTGTGGAAAAAACAACTGCAACCAGCAATTGCCTTCCATGGAAGACTTGTATATTGTGTGGGTAGGAAGGAGAACTGGGAAAATATCTGCAGTCCCCCTCACATCCTGGACATTGAAGTGCTTCAACCTCTTCCCTCTGGACGTTGCTATAGGGCACTGCAGGCCAAAAGCAATGCCATCCCTCTGCTAATTCTCACCATGCTGTCTAATGTCGATGCATGCATACCCATGAAGTAGGACTGCAATATTATTATTTAGCCTTTTGGTTATCTTCTTTCCTTTCCTTTTTATTGGTATTAAAAAAAATAAGTCTGTGTATCTAATTACAGGTCTGTGTATCTAATTACACTTGGCCAAATAAAGTATTCAATTCAATTCGATCCAATCCAATCTTGTTTCTGCTACAAAAATAGCATGATGGCTAGCATGATGCTTGATTCTTCAATCAACCAGAATAAGGGAAGGGAACTTGGAGATCTCTGAATCCAGGCCCTTGGCTCAAGCAGGAGGCCCTATAGTGCCGTTTCAGACAGGTGGCTGCCCAGTCTCTTCTTAAAAAACCCCCCAGTGATGAAGCCCCCACAACTTCTGAAGGCAAAGCGGTTCCACTGGTTAATTGTCTTCCCTGTTAGGAAGTTTCTCCTTAATTCCAGGTTACTTCTCTCCTTGATTAGTTTCCATTAGTTTCCTGTCCTGCCCTCAGGTGCTTTGGAGAATAGCTTGACTCCCTCTTCTTTGTGGCAGCCCCTCAAATACTGGAATACTGCTATCATGTCTCCTCTAGTCCTTCTTCTCTCTAAACTAGCCACACCCAGGTCCTGCCACCATTTTTCATATGTTTTAGTCTTCAGGCCTTTAATCATCCTAGTTGCTCTTCTCTGCAAGTTCTCAGAGAATCTTTTCTGATTCTGCCCGGTCTGGGGACTGTGAAAGGGGGTTTGCAGAGGGTATGGCTCCTCCTGAGATCTATTCCGCTCCAATGATCTCTTGCAGCAATTAGCAGCCTACATTCTCCAGTAGAGTGTTCTCCACCGAACTCATCGTGAACTGAGACGAGCTGGAGACTGTGAAAGTCGAAACCTCAACCTTGGAGGGTTCAAAATTTGGAAAAATCGAGCAAGGTAACCACGCCTGGAAGCTTATACTCCTTAGAAGTAGCCACCCTACATCGTGCAGGGGTGAAGAACAAGCCAAGGTCCAAGCCCAAGTTCCTTCCATAGGCTGGAGGCCAATCCCAAGGTCTACCTCGCCCGAGGCAAAAAGAGGATGAACTCTTTCAAGGCACCAACAAAAGTGCTTTGAAGTGACTTTAGCACTACAAGTGGCTCCCCAAAATCCTTAGCCAGACATTATTGGGAGAGGGGGATGGTGTTGGAAGCCCCTGGGGGAATGTCGCTTCCAGGGAGGAGGGGTAGGAGCAGGAGGGGTCTGGATTGAAAGCCCCAAAGGCAGGATGGAGCAGACAAGATAAAGCATCTGCAAGGGTTGTAGGGCAGACATCAGATCCACAAGGGTGCATTGTTTGTATACGTTGCCAAAACAAAAAACAAAAGGCCAGGGAAAGCCATAGCAGATCCTCCTGATATGGCAAACTTAATACACAGGCTGAGCTTGAGTTGGCCTTAACCATATGGTTTTCACTGTGATGTGAAAACTAGGTACCGTATAAACCATGGTCTATGGCTTAAGTGAACCAAGATGCTATTGTTTGTTCAATGAACTATGATCTTCTGGTGCAGGTCTACCTTCATTCATGGAAGCTCACTCTGCAAATTTGATCCCAACTCAACCTAATCTCTTCCCTCTCTCTCTCTCTCCCTCCCCCCTCTCCCTTCTCCACACCCTCTCCCTCTTTTTCTCCCTCAGTCTCCCTTTTTCTCCCTCCCTCTCCCTCTTTCCCTCCCTCCCCCTCTTCTCCCCCCTTCCTTCCACCCTCTCTCTCTCTCTCTCCATTTTCCTTTTTCTACTCCCTCTTTCCAGCTCCCTCCTCCCTCTCCCTCCCCCCCTTCCATAACATAAGAGCACCTGTCTTTTGAATTTACATTGTGAAAATCTGCATTGATCTTATCTTCAGTATTGCCTGCGGGATTGCTATTGGGTGACCAAACCTTATCTCTAAACATACTCTGGATATTTTAATATTTAGAAACATAGAAACACAGAACACTGACAGCAGGAAAAGATCTACTAGTGGTTCATCGAATCTGGCCTTTGAGTTTGTTTTGTTTATTTATTTGTTTATTATTTTAATGTTTTATTTTTATTTTACTTTTCATTCCCTTAATATAAGTAGTCCTAAACTTATAACAGTTCGTTCACTGACCATTCAAAGTTACAATGGCACCGAAAAATGTTATTTATGACCATGTTTCATACTTATAACTGTTGACGGCATCCCCATGGCCACATGTGATCAAAATTCAGATATTTGACCACTGGCTCACATTTATGACAGATGTAAGTGTCCCCGGGGTGTGTGTGTGTCATGTGATCCCTTTTTACGACCTTCTGACAAGCAATGTCAATGGGGAAACCAGATTTACTTAACAACCGTTAGCAATGTAACAATTGCAGTGATTCACTTAACAACTGTGGCAAAAAAGGTTGCAAAATGGGGCCAATTCACTTAACAACTGTCTCACTTCATAAGAGAAATTTTGGGCTCCACTGTGGTCGTAATTGTGGTTAAGTTAGTAACAAGGTTTGTAAGCTTGTGACTAATGGCTTCCCCATTGACTTGGCTTGTCAGAAGGTCACAAAAAGGGGACCTCCCCGGGACATTGCAACCGTCATAAATATGAGTCCGTTGCCAAATATCCAGATTTTGATCCCGTGATTATGGAGATGCTGCAATGGCCGTGTGAAAAGCGGTCATAAGTCATTTTTTTTCAGGGCCGTTGTAACTTTGAACGGTCACTAAATGAACTGTTGAAAGTCGAGGACTACCTGTACAGTCGTTCAAATATTGCAGTAGTTTTTTAGTTTCCCTTCCCTTCCCACTTGTCATTTCTCCTCTAGGCTAACCCCACCAACTGTCCCTCATCCTTTCTCCACAGATCATAATTTTCCACGCTGGTGATCTCTCTCTTGCTCTAAATTCATTACAAATTGTCCCCTTTCCATTTAACGATCT